TTAAACTGATCTTCGTGTCTAGTCACAGAAGTTACTGATCAAAAAAGGCAGAGAGGAAGAAAATACCTTTTAACATGTAGAATAAGTTTTTTACTTTTTCATTTCTACTGTTGTGGCTGCACCGCAGTAGGCAGTTGAACCCCTCACAGTCATTCCCTCCCTTTCCCCTGCTGATACGGGGCAGAGAATTGAAGGGGTAAAAGTGAGAAAACTCATGGGTTAAGAAAAAGTAATTTTCATAGGTAAAGCAAAAGCTTTATCAAGAAGCAAGGCAAAACAAGGAATTAATTCACCACTTCGCATGAATAGGCAGGTGTTCAGCCATCCTCAGGAAAGCAGGGCTCCATCATGCATGATAACTGCTTGGGAAGACAAACACATCACTCCACATGCCCCTCCTTCCAAATTGTTCCCCACAGCTTTTATTGCTGACCACAACATCACTTGTTCTGAGCTAACCCTTGGGGTTCCCAGTCCCAGTTGTGTCCCCTCCCAGCCACTTCTGAACTCCCAGCCTCCTCAGTGGCCTTGATGCTATGTGAGCACTGTTCAACAATAACTAAAATATCCACGTGTTTTCAACACTGTTTTAGTCAAATCCAAAAGCTTGCCCTATAGTAGCTACTGTGAAGAAAATGAACTGTGTCCCGGCCAAACCCAGTAAAGTTATGGTACTACTTCTAGTCACTCATTTACATTTTAAGTCTTTATATATCTAATATGAATATAAAGAGAAACTGTTGCATGCTTTGCATTTACTGACCTGTTTTTCAGTATCCAGATGCCCTCTGAGCCACCAACTAAACTACAGAAAACACTTTCTTTAAAGAAAAGGTTAAGGAAATTTGGTACAGATCCAAACTCTTGGATTTCAAGCCACCAAACAAGATCTTCAGTTTTTCAATTAAATAATAATAGCAGAAGAATAAAAAAGCTTTTAGTTGCATGTCTGCTGCAGAAAGACCCTCAGTTTTGTAGGAATTGATGATGGCATGCCTGTATGAGAGTACATCTGTGACACAGAAAGCACCAGGAGTTCCGTCAGGCTGATCCTCACAGAATTTTATTGCCATGAAGAAAACACAAACAGATGAATCCTAGTTACCAGTGTTATGGAATGACTTTGAACAATAGTAATGAAGTGCAGCTTTTACTGCAGATTTATGTATTTGAAAGAACCTGACATATGGGAAATATTAAGTTTGCCAATGTTGAGACAGTGCTAGAATTTCTGTGCAAAATGGTTACAGGATGGGGTTTTTTTCAATTTGCAATTTTTAAAGAAATGTTCAAATTTCTTGTGAGATTTAAAGATTTTATGGATTTTTTTTTCTACATCTGCAGAAAATATATGAAAAATTGTGCTCTCTCTCCATAAACCTCCAATTGTGTGGAATGTCGTACAAGTGGAACCACATTATAGAAAAATTGAGCCGTAAATTGAGCTGTTCTTGACCATGTTCAAGTTTGAATGAGGGATATCCAGCAGCCATAGTTATGTGCAGTTGTACTTTCCCTGGTCTTTCTACACAGACCGCATAATAACACGTTGGGAGCTTCAAGAAGAAGCACAGGCTTATGAAGGGCAATGTTCAGCCTTGTAAGAAATATTCTATAGGCTGGATGTATTAAAAGTGGTTTCCAGAGCAAGAACAAGGCTTTACGCCTGTACCAGTGAGAATTCAACACTTCTTACTGATATTACAGAGCTGAAGGGAAGCCATTCCGGCAGGTGCCTTAGATTGGTGTTCAGTATGCAGCTCTCTAAAAAAAATACTGACAGTGGGGATAGAGGTGGGCAAGATATCTCCCTGTAAGCTTAGAGGTCTTTAGGCACTTGAGAGTCCCACTCAGGAATCTTCTATGGATTCTCTATTTTCATTCTAAGACCTGAGCAGGATCCATGCTCTGCCCTTACAGAAGTGTTGAGTCATGCCCACTTTATTATATTGATTAAAGCTTTTGATTCAGCATTTGAGCAACGTGGTTTTCTGTCTTTGCTATTCATTTTCTGTAATGGAGGACAGGCAACACCTACTTGTCAGGAGCCTCCCATGAGAAGTTGTATTGGACAGGAATAGTCTTCATTTCTCTTGCTAAAGGTGAGTCACTATCTAGTAAAGAACACAGCTGCGCCTGCCTGCATCTGATGCCAAGGCACTTGGGGAAGAAACGTTCCTTTTAAGTATCTCTTTTTTTATAGTTTAACTAAGGAATGAGGCCAGAATATGCCCAGTTTCAGGAGAACACTGTACATACAGAGTAATATATCCTCTTGAACCTTCCATTGATGGTCCTGGATCTGCTACATCCAGGGCAAGTGTATTAGCTTTTTTATGTGTAAAAAAAAAAAAAAAATTAGTAGCATTTTTCTTTCTTTAATTGCACTAAATATCACTTATCACTGTGTTTTGTAATGTGCCTCATTCACCTGCTGTGTGCTCAATATACGCTCAGAGCAATTGCTTTCTTTTTTTAACTTGTTAGTAGAAATGGAGGAAAATCTGTTTTCAGAATGCTGATCATCCTTATGGGCATGTAAAGCAATGAGCTGGTAGTCTGTTAAAAAGATTGGACATACTGGTAGAATTAGACTGTTCAGTACTTTTTAAGTGAACTTTTTTAAGGTCCTTGACTGTGACTCAGGGCAAATTGAGTGCTTCTGTAACTGGTACGTTTGCAAAGCTTTAAGAATAACAATCCTTTAATTAGTTGCCTAAATTTTATTAACATCTCGTTGAAATTGTAAAGGATCTGGTCCTTAGAGATAATTAGGTTTCTATTTTTCCCACTGCTGTTGGTGGAAGATGGTCACTGCAGCAGCTGTAAGAATTTGGCCCTGTGGAACCATGCTGAAGCAGGTAGGAGCTGATCCATGATATTCCAGGAGATGAAGTACCCCAAGCACTTGGTTCTAGCAAAACTGCACATGGAGGCACACCCTAGTTTGGTGTTTTATTTGTTTTTAAATTTTGCAATTGTATGTAAGCAGAAGTTTACAAATGCTTAATGTCTAGAGGGATCTTTTAGCTTTTGTCAGGAGCTTTCATTCTTTCAGAGCAACAACACATTAATATAATGAATTTAACAATGATCTTACATGAATTAAGGTAAAAAAATGCAACTAAAACACAAAATAACAACAAAAAACTAAATTGAAAAGCTCTTAATTTGAAACCCATAATATTAGGACACTGTTGAATCACCTCTCACACTGTGAAGGTTCTTTTTGTCAGTGTAAGATCTATTCAACAGGAGGTTTGGGTTAATGGAAACAGAAAATCAGATCTGTATCTTGATGAATATGTGAAAAAATAAGATAGCAAATCTATATGCAGAAATGCTCTCTCTGTTTTTCTGGAAAACTTACACTTTTTAAGGATTTGATTCATTTAAGATTTTTTTATATAATCCCAACCTGTTGAATGTGTTTTTTTAAGTCTTTAACATAGCATTAAATTAACATGGAGTGAAAAAATTCCCTGGAAAAAGTTATTTAAATGTGAATATTTCCATGCTATGAGTTGGCAATGTCCTGTAACTTACTGTCTCTTACAATAAAGAAAAAAATTAAATTAGATGACTTGTACAAAAGTATATTACTGGAAAGATAAACTATATTCCTTGTAATTGATTTTTTTTTCAATACAAACATTTTGAATATTTGAAAATATTTTCTACCTACAGATTTTAGGTGTCTTTCATTTGTGTTTCTGAGTTTTACATTAAGATAACTAGGTTTCAGCTTGCTTTAGTCATCAAAGCTGAATGGTATTTGAGTGAAATATTTTAAATAACTGTTCATAAAGCCTCTGTTATTTTTAACATCTAAACTGTTATTTTCCTTTCTGAACTCCCTCTTCAGCTTCCAATCTAATAGGATTAAAAACAAGTGTGGATTCTCTTAATTCCTCTGTAATTCTATTGTAATTAATAAATTTAGTAGAACATCTTTATGAAAGAGAAGCAAGCATTGCTCTGGAACTGCTAACAATATCTTAAATAGACTAACTGAACACACAAATCTTCTGTTTCTTTCTTTAGAAGAAGGAATAGCACAAATTATAAAGGCCATTTGAATTAGGCCATTTAAATATAACACAGATAACTCAACTGAATTTGAACCAATGAAGGGAAAAACAGCCCAACCAAAAAAATTCAAATCTAGTTCTAACCTATGTAAAAGTAAACGCATAATGTTAAATCTAGTAGAGAGAGAGATATGGGAAGGTCTTTCTAAGACTGAGATGCAGGATAAGCGATTTCTTTGTATAGTCTACTGCTGTTAGCAGCCATTAGCCCTGTACAATAAATGTATTCTCTTTTTTTAATATAAGTTATCTGCACAAGGTGTATAAACAAATATGTTTAGCTACTGAAAAGTGTTATCTTAGTACTTAATGTTGAGGCCAAGGAGAAATTAAACAGTTAGATTATGCTGTGCTGGGAGATGAAAATTCTGTGCTGTGGTAGTCTCAGCCCCCAAAATAAAGACAAACATTCTTATTTACTGAGATTTTAGAGCAGACATGTAAAATGCAAACTGTGACCAAATCAGTGCTCTTGTTTTAAATACAGTTGCAAAAGAGAAATATGCTACCCATTGCACTGCATGATAAATGTATTGCTTTATTGTGCAACAATTTTATTTTAAACAGAGTCGCAGTTTTAATTAAACTTTTAAGATTACACATAGAAATGCTTAAGGACACATAGGAATTGCTGCAGTATTGAGGACAACTGAGTCAGCTGAGATTCTGTTTAACAAACTGTTGTTACTGTGAAAAATGTTTCCTTCCTAGGAGGCTAATTTATTATAGATGTTTGTTCTATATTTTTAAAACTGTCACCCAGCTGTTGTTCTCAGGCAAATATTGGCCAGGTTTTATATGGAAAGCAAGCAGGTGCAGGTAGTGCAGGTGCACAGGACAGCCCTGATGTGAAGTATTAAAATCAAGCCTCACTGAAGTCTGACAGCAGTCCAGCAGTTTAGCAGAGAAATGGCCATTTCTCCAGAAGAGTCTGGTCCGTCAGATACACTCCAGTCACAGCTAGGGCATACTGACAAGGTAGCTTTCACAGAATACATCTGCAGCCTCATCAGTTTAAACTTGGAGGGAGTAAGGATGATCCTAGAGCCAGTTGTATGTATTGTAGCAGCTTTCTGGAGGAAACAGAATACTAGGGTAGCAGGGCAAGTCCATACCTCCAAGGACTGCACCTTAACTGATGGTATCTACTTTATACCTCTTCCCTTGCCTCTTTGCCACATACAAACAAGCAAGATACCCAAACCTCATGGAAGGGTGATGCCAAGCAAACGTGACTTTGTAGCCTAATAGCTGGAAAGCCATGATTTTGCGTTTTCCTTTCTTTAATGCTTATGATAAGCATTATGCTTACATGAAAATAGCAGTGTGCTGGAAACAGGAGGCCGCTAGAGCATGTTCTTGTGAGATCATAGTATCAAGCTGTCTCCTGCATGGATACAGATGGCTGAGCTCAGGTATTTGTCAATAACGACATCAATGAATGAACAAGATGTGAGAAATATTTGGCACCTGATCAGTAATGCTCAGTACAAGAGAGCTTACACAGAAATTTCAGATAGGTATTGCAGATGTGTCACATTACAGAAGCTTATTCCTATAGTCACAGAGTCCATTTTGGGTGACATCACAACTTCTTCGGGTTTTCTTACTCCTCTGAGACTTTTAGTAAAGTAATGAAATAACACTTTTCTTTTCAGTGTTCTGTTTCCTGTGGAAAAGGTTTGAAGTTTCGTGATGTGCATTGTTTTAATAGCTTCCAATCTAAAATAGAAGAAGAAAACTGCAAACATTTGAAAAAACCACGAACACATAAAATATGTAGAGCTGGAAGATGTCCTGTCTGGAAGGTCAGCAGATGGAAAGAGGTAAGTAAAATCTGACATAACTACCTTCATCGTGAGAGTACAAGACAAGATGATACACTGCTTCAATGGAAATAATTGTAAGGAAGGGTTTTTATATGCACATCACAATGAACTCTACAAATTAGCAAGTAGTTCACTATATTTTCTTTCTTTTAAGAGTAATGAAAAAGTCTGTAAAAACCAAGTATTTGATAATCTGAATTTTGTACTGAATAGGTACTTAGGACTCTCCTCAACTTAGCTTTAAAGTTTACTTCTTACCTTCTGTGATGGATTCAGTAATGTCACTGTATTTGCTATCTTAATCTAAATATTGAAGTGAAGCCAGGTTTGCGGGGGAAGGACAAGAAAAAGGGCTTGTGGGCACAAATATTGGCCTTTTTGCTGGTTTGGTCTTATAAAACATCTCTTACCTTGTAAAATTGTGTGTAACTGAGCACATTGCAATATTTTGCATTTCACTCACTCTTTCAACATATAAATCCTCCCATTTACCCCTTATTGGTAAAGACATGCTATCACTCTCCACATTTTGGCCACACTTGATAGAACAATATGAACCTGATGATTAGGCTTGAGAATCTTTAGGTAGGCTTTGGGACCTAGTCCTGCTTCTGACTGGTGTAAAAGGGGGTCTGTCTATCTCAGTTAGCATTAGGGGTATAGTGAAATGCCTTTGGCCAGGAGAATGAAAAGAAGCATTTGGTATTTAGGTATCTCAGGTTTCAAAATCCTTAGTACTACCTGCAAAAGGAAAAAAAAGTGTCCTCAACATACTGTACCATTTGCAGGATTTTCTAACATGAAACACTGAGAAGTTTTTTTATTCTGATACTTGCATTTTAAAACAACAGACATGACTGTCAGTCTCTAATAAAGGCATGATGTAAACTCAGAGCTGCAAATGTTTGATCTTGCAAAAATGTAAACTTTTGCTTTGCATATGCCTGTAGTGGTTGTCCATACTGTGAAAAAAAGATAAGCAGAGAGCTCAGTTAGGTAACTCAGAAGCACTTGTTTTCTGTCTTTTTTAAAAATTTTTATTTTAATGGTAGTTTTGCATTTTCAACATCAGTTTCTTTAGGTATAATGAAACACTCATAAGGGATGTGAAGTATATTTTAAATAATATCCTAAGAACTTGCAATAATGACAAGTGTATCCCTTCTGGGGACAGTTTAATTTCACACTGACATAACTAATTTTGATCAATTTTAGTGTTCTGTATCCTGTGGAGTGGGGATTCAGCAAAGGGACATCTACTGTCAGCTGGCAGGCCTGGGGCAAGTGAGTGAAGCAATGTGTAGCCATGAGACCCGCCCTGCTAGCGAGAGGCATTGTTGGCTGCCTGCCTGCCTGGCCTACCAGTGGCTGGCAGATGAATGGGAAGATGTAAGTAAGACTTTCAACTTGTATGAAGCAAATGAGTGATGTCGTATGTCATACTAAGTTTTCTTTTTTTTTTTTTCCCCACATTTGGATGCATTTTTAATAGCTGCTTTTATGCTACTGAATAACAAGTGACCATGCTGTATATTTTGAAATATATTTGCAAAACTTAAAAAGTGACAAAAAATGTCTAAGACTTTCTTTACTTTCTTATTCAGGATTTACTTGTCTATTGTTGTAGAGAAAAGCTCTGGTGGAGCTCTGAGCAGGTACCTATTCATAAGACTGTTGCTACTTAGTTCTCCACATAGGGCATAAGATGTTTAATAAATCCTCATTATGAAATATCATTTGAAAAAGGAGTATTCAAAAATAGAAATTCAAAAGAAATGTTATGTGGAAGTAAAAAACTTGGACATAAAATCTTTGGGCTGCAGTGTTTTCAAAGTGTTCTGTATGGAAGAGTTAAAGCGTCCTTAAAATTTAAAGCATCTTTTCTTCTTAAAGAAAAGATAAGAAGCAAAATAAAACTCACTATTCTCCTACCAATTATGAAGCAGGGTAAGAAAATAAAGCTCAGCATTCTCCTACCAAATGTGTTTTTTCCTATTTAAGAAAATCTACTGTTGCCTTTAGAAAAGAGGTGTCATTTCTCAAAAAGTGATGACTATTTTCTACATGCTAAAAATTTAGTAACTGCTATTATTTATGCAAACATACATTATGTGTAATTCCTGAAAAGGGTTATAAAAGAGCCTATCTCTTACTGTACAATTGTGGCATCTTAATAATCTGCACTGCTAAAGTTCCTAGGGCAACAGCCCCTGAAACCTTGAAAATGAAGACTCAAAAGTCTCAGAGACACAATTCTGTAGAATTGACAACTGTTAATATATAAAACATTTTCTGGTGCTCTGCAAAACCTGGATTGTAGTAATGCAGTTTAGACATACATATTCCTCTGTCTGAGAAAAGAGTACAAATATATATTTCTTCCAGTGTTCTCTTCTCATATGTTGCTGCTAAAATCAGAAATTAGTGAAAGTGTCTCAGAATGTCCTTTTAGCACAAATATACACTTTCAAAGAATGACGGTGAGTTTTCCTTTCCCAGCAAATATTTGTATATTCCAACTATTCTCCACTACAAATGCATTGTGTTTCACTACGTCCTCCAGCTTTCATAGCCTCTTCCACACAGATATTGCCATTTTCTTGAAATTCCTGTGTTCTGTTCCCTTCTCTCGCCACATTCATATACAGCCCTGTACATGTAGTGTTAGTACACTAGTGGAATCAGACCCAGCCAGCACAGGTTTAGGAAAGGCAGGTCTTGTCTGACCAACCTGATCTCCTTTTATGATCAGGTGACCCACCTGGTGGATGAGGGGAAGGCTGTGGATGTGTCTACCTGGATTTCAGCAAAGCCTTTGACACTGTCTCCCCTAGCATACTCCTGGAAAAGCTGGCAACCCACGACTTGGACAGTGGCACTCTGCTGGGTTAAGAACTGGCTGGTGGACCAGGAGAGTGCTGGTGAACAGGGCTGCATCCAGCTAGTGGCCGGTCAGCAGTGCTGTCCCCCAGGGATCAGTGTTAGGCCCTGTTTAACATGTTTATTAATGATCTGGATGAGGGGATTGAGTGTACCATTAATAGATTTGCAGATGACACCAAGTTGAGCAGGAGTGTCGATCAGCTGGAAGGCAGGAGGGCTCTGTAGAGGGACCTGGACAAGCTGGAGAGATGGTCTGATTCCAGTGGGATGAAGTTCAACAAGGCAAAGTTCTGGGTCTTGCACTTTGGCCACAACAACCCCCTGCAGCGCTACAGGCTGGGCACAGAGTGGCTGGAGAGCAGCCAGGCAGAAAGGGATCTGGGGGTGCTGATTGACAGGAAGCTTAACATTTTCGCTCTGTGAGCGACTAGGTTTCTTAAAGGCTTAATGCATTTAAGACTTCCATTGCTGGGCCACAGTATCTTGCAGGTCTTCTGAATGGGTAGGTAAGCCTCTCACTGATTTACTTTCACTGCTTTCTCTGATTTCCTGCCATCCTCACTGTCACCTCACCTTTTCAAGAAAGAGCATTATCACACAGCAAGATTTGGAGCTTATAAGCACTTAATACCCTAGTCATGAGTCAATGCTTAAATTTCGCCTTCAGTCTTAGAATCTTGCTTCTACCTAATGTAAGTGAATTTTTATCAGATGTTTTTTCCTCAAGCTCTACTCCCCTTATCTGGGTCTGTACATGTTTACAGCTGTCAGATTAAATGAAGTTTGAAAGCCTAAGTGTGTATTTTTCATCTTCTTTCATTAGTGTACTTAGGTTAGCGAATTTTGTGGAGCAGCTCCTCGGGGCTCAGTGCTTGCTCATCAGGTTTGCAGATGGTGCCAAACTGGGGAGATTGTTTGGCTTGCTGGAGGGCAGGGCTGCCATACAGGGGACCTGGACATGTCACAGGAATAGGACCACAGGAACTTCATGAGATGCAACAAGGACAAATGCAAAGTGCTACCCCTGGAAAGGAAGCACTGCTGCAGCAACTCGGGCTGGGGATGAGCAACCTTGGCATCCTGGTGGAGAGCTAAGGGTGGGCCAGCTGTGTATCCTGTCAGCAAGGATGGCCAGCAGCCTATAGACTGTAGTAAGTGGTGCTATTGATTATGGCCTCTGCTGAGACTGGTGAGTTTTTCTTCTTTATCACTGCAAGTCCAAGCAGCTTAGTTGAGGCCCCTGTGGCTGGGGACTTGATGTTGATATGTATTACTTAGCCTGTACCTGCACTTTTCTGGATTCTGGTGGCAGCCAGGTTTTCATCCTGTCCTGGTAGAGCTGTGATGACTCTCCATTCCAAGAGCTTACCATGGGGAGAGAGATCTGAGGACCCTGAGGGAAAAGGCACAGGCTCAGCAGGTACTGATACCCAAAGCTGGCACTGGCTTAATTAATAGGCAGTTTTCTTTTAATTTTATTTATCAGTGTAATATGTACATGCTTGGAGGTATACTTTTTGTTTTGTTTTCAAGACCAGTTTACTCCTTTCATATTTTACTGAAATCCTTTTTTGGCTCTTCCCTTCTCATACAAAAGAGCTTTTACACTCACCCTATCATCTTGGTTTGACATTTTAATTTTCTCCTCTGCCTCACCCAACAGTTAGAGTGTTGTTATTACACACTGTTGTTTTTTGTCAGCTGAGTAGAGGTAGCTGAACTTTGAAAATTTAAAGGATTCTGATTCAGTGAGTAATTCAGTCTGACACTGATAGCAGATGTCATAAAAGGTATTGCTGTCTGGGTCTTACTAGTGTGTGGCAATCAGTAGATAACTTCATTCTGTAAATGTCTAGTTTAAGTGCAAAAACTGATTGATTTTCTCACTTTTAGTGCTCATCATCATTTAGAAGAAAGAAAATATACCGAAAAATTAGGTGTGTGAATGGAAACAAGCTCCAAGTGGATGAAAGCTTCTGTGATCCTGCCACAAAGCCTCCATCATCCAAAACCTGCAGAGTGGCTCCCTCTAAATATGTTGTGTTCACAGGAGAACTGTCACAGGTACAGTAACTATACTGCTCATACATCTTTTATATAACTTTACATTTAAGAATATTGTATTGCTCTAAAATGTACTTTATGTGTGTAGCAAAAAAAAAAAAAAAAGTATGTTTTCGTTTGAACATGGCTGTCTATACTTTCTCTGCATTGACCCTCCCAGTCAACCATGACTTATTGTAGCATCTGTTATCAGTTCTCTGCTAACCCGCCAGGGCCTATGATCACCAGCTATAGGAGAGCTGCCCCTACCACAGGATTGCCTTGCTGGTTCCCAAGAAACTGTCTTGCAAGCTGACATCACTGAAGTAACCAAAATCTTTTCCTTGATGTCAATAAAGCGATTGATTGGTGCTTTGTTTCCTTTGCACATCTGCACTACCTGTGTGTGTGTGTGTCTGTGTGTGCATCACAGCTTTGAGGGAATGGCTCTGGAACCTCTGTGAGCTCTGAAAAAAGGGCAGCATTGAGCTTTCCAACTCCTTGCATGTGTAACTATTGTAGACTTTGAATGTGTAACTATTGTTCACTTCTGCATACTGATGTGCCAGCCCAAGGTGGCACACATATGATTACAGGCTTTTGCCAGAGCAAGGAACAGAGCTGACTTATCTGTAAAGGCATTTCTGCAGAAAGGTTCAGTTTCACAGAAATTATGTCTGTGCTTATTTTAGTGCTCAGCCAGCTGTGGGTTTGGTTACCAGCAGAGGATCACGTACTGTGTTGGAATCCATTCTGTTCAAAATCAGCATACCCATGGCCTTCAAACTGTAGCATACCGAGAATGCCCAGTAGAGCCATCCCCATACATTTATAAATGTTCAATGTTCAAGGGATGTTCAAAAACAGCTACCTGGAGAGTGGGGAAGTGGACCAAAGTGAGTACAGATCTGCAAGCTCATTTTTGATAGCTATCTCTAACATAAAAAAGAACTAATTTTCTGACATAATGATGTTAATTATTTACTACTTTCTAAACTAACTCTTGATGACTATCCATGTCTAGTGCTCAGTATCTTGTGGAGTGGGGATAAAGGAGAGAACTGTAGAGTGTATGGCTGAAAATGGCTTATCCAGTGACTTGTGCCTGCCACATTTAAAACCAAATGCCAGAAGGATCTGCCACGAGGAAGAATGTAAGTGACAGCTGTAATTTTCCACTGAAGTTAATATTTTCTCAGGTCGTGTATATTAAAGCTATAAATATATTCAGAGCACAATTATTCAAATTTAAGTCCTAAAAGTAATCTCTATTCCTGAAATATTAATATGATTTAATCATTCATTTTGAAGGTGAAATTCTTACCACCTGCAAAGATATGCAGATTAAAAAAGGGATTAGAAAGGATGGTGAATACCTACTTAACATTAAGGGAAGCATGATAAAGGTACTGTTAATATTTATGAGTTTTTATGAACTCAAATGTTTATGAAATAACACTTTTCTAACACACACTTTGCTAAAGGGTTGTATGTTCTCTTCCAGATCTATTGCTCAGGCATGCACTTGGAGAATCCCAAAGAATATTTGACATTGGTAAAAGGTGAAGCAGACAACTTTTCTGAAGTATATGGATTAAGGTACATAAGCAGTTTTATAACTTTATGAAGTGCATTTATTCCTTCTAAAGTAAAATAATAAAAAAATACTTTCTGTGAGAAGGGTGAGTAGGTTATTTGTCCTTGATTTTCTGTTTTGAATATCCAGGCATGTGAATGCACATATGGAAATGTAGGTACTTTTAGGCTGAAATAACATTAGTTGCAGTAAATGATTGTATTTTTTTTTCTATCTTGACTTTAGTAGGAACGGCTTTAATCAACATTATTTCAATTGAGTGAAGATTAAAAGCTGAACTTTTTGTTCAGTAACTGTTATTTAATATTTTTTATGTGTCATATACACTTATTTTTCACTATGATATGTTATGGAAAAATGTCAAAAGTAAAATTAAATCTTTGCTATTCTCTAGGCTGCAGAATCCATATGAATGTCCTTTCAATGGAAGCAGAAGGCAAGACTGTGCCTGTCGAAATGATTACCTTGCAGCTGGCTTCACGGTTTTTAGCAAAATAAGATTTGATGTAGCTTCCATGCAAATTAAAAGTAAGCGTTTTGTCAGTTTTAGCCAATGTGGGCATTCTATTGACATTGTACATGATCACAATTACCAAACTACCATTTTAACACACTTATAGATCCAGTTGTACTATTTTGGAGCAAAGAAAACTCTTATTTAATTTAGGAATTCAATGGGAATTTCAAAGGTGAAAGAAAGAAGAAAGAAAAACCACCACTACTTCCTATGTTAATTTGTCCCAAGTGGTCAAGTGGCATGAATCTCATAGATTCATATTTTATATGTGAACTCTCTTCATTTTATAAATTTTTTCCATTTTAGTCCATGACTTATTTGTCTTGTGGAAATCTTCCTATGCTGTACTAAGTCCCTTCTTAGAGCTTGGCACACACTAAATAAATGGACAGGGAATCTCACAGCACTTTCAAGCCCCTGCCTGAAGCTGTCATGTTGGTCCACAATCAGCACACTTGACACAGTGTCCAAGTGTGCATCCATCTTCCTCATAGCTAGCCCCCTTGTATCTCAGAAAGAAATCTGGGCTTGCAGGTTGGACTAGTGTTGCAGTAACCAAAATTTAAATAAAGTGTTGTTTCTCAAATCAAAACACATATCCTCCCCCTCCAAATAAACAATAAAAAACAAAACCAAAAAAAATCCCACCCAAGGCCAACAATAAAACACCCTGTTAATGACTTTTCACACTGTTTTCACCTGAACTTTGTATGCAGCAGTTTGTGTTGAGTAATTTTCTGTTTTCTAGCCACAGATTTTCTTTTTGCTCAGACTATACTTGGGAGAGCAGTACCATTTGCTACAGCTGGAGATTGCTACAGTGCTGCCAGATGTCCACAGGTATTCAATGATTTCTTATCTCCTTGAAATGTTCACATAAGAGAGGGGGAAAATATTTGTGTGACTTATTTGGAGCTGCAAGGTTCTAAACCAGTCTCCTATGCTGTGTTGTCAGTGTACAACATTAATAAGTACTCTCTTCTTACTCTCTTCTCTCCTGTTCCGCTATCCCTTGCTCACAGTTTCTCCCTGAAATTGTTTACTCTACCCTTTCCCTGTAGGCTCCATTTATGTATATCCAGCTTTCTGTGTGTTTCATCTACTACTCCCTCTCAATGTGATATATTCTTTGTTTCCTCTTCTCAAGGGAAGTTTTGAAAGACATGAACAGGGTGCCTTCTGGATGAAGCTAAATCAAATAATGAGCTCAAAGGAAGGATCTTATTACACTCTTATTGCACTCTAATGAGGATTCAGTCTGTGGAACTAGAAGAGAGTTAGTCCAAAGGAAGACCCCTAGTTGTGCACTGTCTGTAGATGTTGGGCTCTCTGACCCAACATTTTCGCTCTACAGGTCTGCTCATACTCTGTGTCCTTCTCAATAACACAGATGTAGTCCTAGTCTGAACTAGTCAACCTAGGCTGACTTTGGAACTCATTGACAGAAATAGGATTCCCTAGAAAACACTTCAACTAATCTTACTCTATTACTGGACAATTTAGGATGAGGTCAGCTGTCCTCTGGAAGTGAATTTCTTGTCACTGGTTATAAAGGAGTTAAGTCCAACTGGCTCAGACTTGCAAGGACGGGAACCCCTGATGTCTATCAATCCTAGGTGACTAAACTTTAGCTCTGTGGGTAGAGGCAACCAAGGGCAGCTAGAGGCAATTTATGTACAATTTATTTGCAAATGAAGGACCTAGGTTCAGCAGACTTTACCCCTGACAAGAAAACAAGTTGGATACCTTCAACCTGCAAACTCTCTGGGTGCAGTACAATATAAATCTTTCTGCCATCTGTAACTTCTCTTGTGAGGTCATTGTGCTTACATGGTTTGGCACTGACACATTTCCATCTATAAGATCTGCACTGACTCTTACGCTTCTGATGCAGTCAAAAGCCTCCATTCCTGTACTCTCCATCCATGAAATCTGTTCCTGGCCTTAAGCATGCTGCATGATATGTCAGACAGCTGTTAAGCTGTCATTATAATCGTGCATAATACTTCTCATTTATTTTTGCAAAGTCACTGTGAAAGAAGTTACTTTGGGCCTGTTAACTGTGGAAAGCATTTCACGCAATTTGTAGGAATTTCCTCCTTCATTAAATGAAAGTCTTCCACTTTGTGGGCACTTGAAGAACAAAAAGTTCTATCCATAAAAGTTTATGTTAGCTCTTCCTAAGTTAAATGCTATAAGCACAGCAACTTTACACAGAAGTGCTCTCAAAATAGATCTGCCACGCTGAACAATGAAAGACTGAATTTTTGCAAAGGAATTTTAGTGAATCACGAGAAAAAAAGTTGAACACTGTAATTTTATACATGCATACATACATATACCCACACAATAATGTATATATATGACATTATTAAGCAATAAAAGACAGAAGCTACCATTTGTAATAAAAATTTTACTTTTGCTAAAGCTTTGATCTTATGGTTTAAGCATTTAAACTAGGTCTAAATACAGAAATTCAGACCTTCAGTGAATAGTGTGGAGGTGTGCAGTTTTCTGACTGTAGTGCAGCCTAAACTAACCATTAGGCTCTTTGTGGAGGTAGTATTTCTTTCCAGCATATTGCACTTCTGTATTAATGCAATTTAATAATTTTCTGCATCCTAGTTTGTTTACCAAGGTAGTGCAGTTTGTTGCTATTTCCTGTTCTCATATGAAGTGACTATTTTAAAGCTAGTTTTTGGAGTATTTGCATAGGCAAATATTTTAGAATAAACAGCTTCTATATCTGTTTCAAATGGTTTGTATTGCAAAACATTCCATTTAGCAATACATTTATTTATTTAACCTCCATTTATGTTCATGTTCAATTATCTTATTGATTATACTGAAAAAGAAATGAAATATGATAAAATGATGATGTTTAATGTCATGGTTTTGCCCACCAACCAGTCTCTGGGGCTGAGGATGGTTTTGTCCAGATGGATTTCCAGACAAGAAGCCAATAAAAAAGTTCAGTAACGCCTTTGCTAATTACATATTTAAGAAAATGGAAGAGAAGGCTGGTTGCGCAGTTGAAATTAGGAGTAGTAGCCATGTAGGGAGAGAGAGGCAGGCCCCAGGTGGGGGCCAGGCCTCCCTCCTCCCCCAGCCCTGAGCCGGGGGCAGGTGTGGCACTGAAGCCTCCCTTCTCTCATGTAAGGGGGTGAAGGAAAAAAAACTTAAAAGGACAAGCTGCTTGGACGAAAGACTGCTGCAGAAGAATTCTGGCAGAGAGATAAGGGACCTCCAAGGTCAAAGCTGGCAGCCACAGGAGAGAGAAGTTCAAAGGGAGGGGGCTGTTTCTCCCCCCTTTCGCTCTCTCCCTTCAGCAGGGAAAAGACTGAAAAATAAATCCCTACTACCTTTGGAAGATTGTTGGGGTGAGGAGACCCCCATGCCGCTCACAGAGGAGCTTGTGGATGTACAAGGAAGCCAAGACTTCATGAGAAGGACTGAAATGAGGCAGAGTCCTGTTGAAGATTTATGATCCTGAGAGAGATGGGGCTTACACCAGGGTGAGAATGGCTTGGGTAAGCTTGAGATCTCAGTGAGAGATCCATGCTGCTGGTGCTGGAGTTTTGTAACCCTGAGAGAACCTACGCTGGAGCAAGAACGGCTCGGGTAGGGATGTTGGGATCCATGTGGGATCCATGCTAGACCCATGTCGGAGAGGTCTATCAAGGACTGTTCTCCCGTGGGGAGGGACCTCACAGGAAACAGTGATGGACTCATAAGCCATTATCCCCTGTGACCCTGCAGTGAAGATCCATGGTAGGCAAGTGTCTCCTTGCAAGCCCATGGAAGAGAAAACCTTCAGGGTAACTGGAGGTCGACACAGAGAAAAAGAGAAAGAGTTCCAGCTATGACGTATCAGAGTTGTCATCCTGAGATAACAGAAGAAGAGCTTTAAAGTGTTACAGTTTTATTGAAAAGACCTAGAGCTCCGAGATGGAGGAAGAGACTGCTTCTCCTCCTTGGACTGATATAAAGGGGGGAGAAGTATTTCTGTAAATACATAACACTTTTACTTGAGTAGAATTGTAAATATAGTTCTTCAGTTTTTACCTTATTAGTAATAAATGTTAATATTATTTTTCCCCAATCAAGTCTTTTTTGTCTGCATAAACCTTCTCACAACTTATAGTAATTGTGTGGGGTGTGAGAACAAATTGACCCAGAGCAAAACCACGACACTTAGGCAGTGTGTCTGCAAAAATTTGAGAATTAGATGGCTAAGAAGTGATTTGTCTGTAATTTCCAGACAGCGGTATGTTTTGACTATGTTGTTTCCAAAAACTTTAGACACTTTAAAAAACAAAAAAGGTCCTTCAAGAAAACCATGCTCATTCTTGCCTTTTTCAAGTCTGTACCTTTTGTGAATTAAAATATCTTGTGTTGAAAGGGCAAAAATAAATTGAATTGTCTGACGTTAGTTTTGTCTTGAGACTCTGTGAACAGATGCTGCAGATCAGCTGATGCACAGGTAGTGCTTACTGCAGAATAACTTGTTTTTTGTGTCTGTGTCCTGGGAGTCCACAGAAAGGGTGTATTGCAGTGTAACTAACCCATATTATCTTTATGCTTTGAGTGCTTAACGTTTATATATGTCCCAAGTGATACATGCAGATATGCCAGTGTAAAGTGTTTTAGTGTTTTGAATTCTTGCTTATCAGCTCTGTATTTTCTTTTCCTTGTCTTTTTCTTTTTTTTTTTTTTTTCCTAGGGACAGTTCAGCATTAATTTGACTGGTACAGGTCTGAGACTATCCAGTACAGTTCGGTGGATTGCTCAGGGCAACTATGCGACTGCTGACATACACAAATCCCATGTAAGTCAGTGGTGTTTTCCTTTACCTGCTCTTATGGCTCAGATTATTACGCCTGAAAAGGTACAAGTGTTGACTGTAGTGAAAGCTAGTTGTGAATCAAAAATAGCACTCAAGGCCTCTGACCCGTCTAAGTCTTGTTTCAGATGTAATGCAGAAAACGATGTTTAATCACACTGTCCGGTATCTAATTTAGACCAACACTGCCTACCTACACTTCTGTTAACTGATTTTAAGATTATTGTCATATTAATTAGGTTTATTAGAAGTTTTGCAGATGCCTTTTAAAGGGGATCTTCAAGTATCTTCTCAAGATATTTAAAAAAAAAAAAACAAACACAACACCCAACCCCCCACATTTTTTTAAAGATATCATAGTACAGATGATCCTTATACAGATTGCTTACCTCCAAATTGACTCTCATGGGAAACCAAGAGCAGTTGAAGAGGAACAGCAAGCATGCACAGTTTAAGACAGCATTGGATGCTAAGCCAGGAAACAAAGTATAAAGTGGTAGTAATAAAGAATCTCTGTGCCCGTTTTTCTAATTTGATGCTGTCTCTTGGTTTAGCATTTGCAGGTGTGATTTGTCAAAGGGTCTGTTGTGTGCAAACTTCGAGAAGCTTTTTGTACAACTGTGATTTCAATTGCTTTTCTTGACTGACTTTTCTCTTTGTCTAATTCCCAGGATGGTACTAAAATCTATGGAAGATGTGGAGGATTTTGTGGAAAATGTGTTCCTAGCACAATTACTGGTCTCCAGCTTCAAATACAATGAGAACTCTGATGTACTATGAGCATCAAACCAGGAACATCTGCCATTTTGGCGCAAATTGTAGATGCAATGTATATATATTTTAATTCTTTCATCTCTGTAATTCTCATTACTGTAACACTCAACTACTAAGAACTGTTTTTCTCAGGATTTACTTGGGGTCATGTTTTCTGTATGTGGGCTAACAAGTGCATAAATCACAATCATAAGCCTTCAGGTTTTAATGGGGGACATTAATTCAATATACAGCATATATTAGCAAGTAAATTGCGCTGAAGTTACTACCATAGGCAACACTCTAAATTTTACCATAATTGTAATTCTTTACCTGCAGCTGATCAGTGTGATACCTTATGAGGTATTCAGTAAAATTTACACTCTACTGGTCCTCTTGATTGACTGTACTAAAATATAGAAAGGAAAGCTTTATTACTCTACAGTGAAGAAAGGTAATAAATTTAAGTCCTTACAGTTTTGTTCAAACTTTGAGGGATTGTCTGTCAATAACTTATAGAGTAGTACATAACCAAAATGCTTGAGATAGTTTTATAGATCTGTGTGTTTCTCTGTCAGTAAAAGCATTTTTCCCCATCCCTTTCATTATATTCTTCTTGGTGCTCAAATCCTGGCAGTAGTCCTGAGAAGTGCAGTTTAACCTCTGTAATCTCTATGGCACATGTTAAACATCTGGGTTTAGGTTTGTCATGGGTACAGGAAAAAAAAATAAGGAACAAAATTGCTTTGAAAACTGATTCTAAATCCCTGCCTCTCATCCAAGTACACTGTAAAAGCAGTGTATTCTGTTTACCATACCGTCTTGTATGTGGTTTTACAACTATGTATTTGCTTAAGCACTTTCCATATACACCTTACTCCTTTACACTGGAAATTGGCATATTAGTAAAGGCTGTAGTATATGTCCTTCATATTCCAATTCAACATAATTTTCAATAACCTTAGCCAAAAACCTGGACAGAGGCAATATTAAGCTCCACAGTGGTTTTGCTGTCCATCTTCGACTCAGTTTGATTTTTTGATGTTTGCAAATACAGTTCTAACATCTGCTATTTAAAATTATTTCTTCGAGAAAAGTAAGTGTATGAAAGAGTTACAAGGTTCAGAAAATTATTTTGCTCTTTGATTTGTTGTTTTGTATTACTTTACAGTCCAGAACTGTAGAAATATATGCATATACAGATAATGTATTTCAGGGCCAACTCTCAGGTATTCAGAATAAAATTTTCTACCTGCATAATAACATATATTATGTACCAGATAACTATACATGCTTTCTTTCAAAATATGCATTCTGTATACCAAATATTTATTTTGCATGCTAGTAAACTTGGTAGATCAAATGGCAGCTATATCATATTTTTGCCCACGAAGAGTTAGTCATGAATTAGCAATATGTATTAATTAAAACCAATACTGTACCACAGAAGTGTATGCAGCTCCTGTTTTAGATAACACATGTACGTAATTATTTTGTGATCTCTGCATCAGAAACGTATTTTTGCACTATGTGCCTTGTAATAGTTGTAAACATTAATAAGAATATAAAACATTATTTTCCTAGAAGTGTTTACATTTACAATTAAAATCTTGTAATTTATAAAATATTTATATAATAAATATGTTTGTGTGAATGATACCAGAGTACTTTTGTTTGGAATTTTTTGTTTTGTATCATATGCTTAGTACAAATGTTGCAAAAATGTTTAAACTTCCTTATGCACAGAATAACTGCATTCGTAATATTTCTTCACAGTTGACTTACTTATACTGGAATATATGCCACACAAGCAGGTTATAGTCATAGGAATATTTTCTATGGAAGCAAATCCTGCTTCAGAGGGACAAACTCCATCTCTATGTCCTCTTTGCTGTTATCCGCTCATATTGCCCTATACATTTCTTGGAGGGTTGCCCTGTAAATCATTAACTGACATAATTCAGAAATCTGAAATAATCTTCCTTTTCCTTGTGCTAATTCAAACCAATTCCCTCCCAGCCTGGTCCCTTGCCAGCTGCTTTAAGGGAAGCTGCAGTTCACCTCTATCCCCAGGAGGATCTTTTCAGCCCATCTAAAGGCTAGAAAGCACTCAGCTCTGCTGCCACAAAGGCACTCTTAAAATCCACTACCAAGCAAAATACCAATGCAATATTCAACACAGCATGTTTTTCTTGGATAATACAAATTATTTTTGAGTAAAAATGTATTTTCTATGATTCTAGCAAACCCTGTGGCCCGCTTCAACTTCTGCATAGAACAGCACTGTACTTTACTGTAGTTTTTTGCATCTTTTCTTTCTTTTATCATGGATTTGGAGTTTCAGCCTAGTGTAGGGAAAAAGTAATTGCGTGTTCTGGCATTTTGTGACTCTCCTGAATTTTGGTTTTGTAGGGGAAAAAGGGCTTGGTCAATAACTCCATTTCAACTTCCTAACTTTTTATCCTGAAGGCAATTTAAGAAAAACATAAACCTGATGATCAGTCTAAAGAATGTGGAGACTTGATGATGTTGACCAGTTAGAAGGCCCATGCAAAAAAAAAGAAAAAAAAAACTAAAAAGAGAATCATGGGTTGTACTTGCAAGCTTTAGTTGAAATTGATGTGAATGTCCATCACATTGGGTAGCCGAGATGCCCAACAGAATAGCATGGTGCCCCATGAGAGTGCTGTGAGCTCCACCTCATGGATCTGCATGTGTTGAGCTGCCCATGGCTGCTCACAGTCAGTCAGGTTTGATTTGTGCTTAACTGTCCCATCACTATTCCATACAATAAAAAAACAAAAAATGAATGGTAATAGCTAAAGATGACATGTGGCTTCTAGGATCTTCTCAATCCCGTCAATAACAGCATATTAGGTGACACAACTGTACTTACCTTGCTTGTGTGAATGCATGCACACATTTAACATTTATCTGAACATTAAATGCCAAAGATGGACTAGAGGTAAAAAACCTTGTTTCTCACATTAATCTAACAAAATGTCATTTGATGTGCTAGGAAATGGTGTTCTGCCATGTGACAGTACCTGTGACTTCTCCTGATGAAGTCATCATTGACACGCCTTCCACTCGTATTTCCCCAAAGGTTGTATGTGGGAGGTAGCAGAGCAGATGGAAACTATGGCTCTGGGTACACAGAAAGGTCTCTGTTCTGGTGGAATTCATCTTGCTGTAGTCACCCTCTACAGAGAAGCAGGATGTGCCTAGGCATTTGGTCTGGAATACGTGTGATGTGCAATCAGTCAGTCCTGCGTGCATGGGAAGAGCTGTGACTATGTGACTTCAGCATGTATGTGTGTCTATGCTGGTTTCTGATGGATGGTCATGTATTTTTCTTACCTAACTGAAAGGCTGTAATATCCAAGACATATTTGAAAAGATGAGGGAAAGGTTTGGGTTTTCTTCCTCTCCTGTAACCTGGAATATGTTCAGCATAACTTCTCGGTTTTGTTGACTATTTGAAATGAAAATTACATGTAATAGGAAGGTGCTTTATGTCTTTGCAGTTTTATTACAGGAACACATGAGATCCCTAAGAAATTCAGAATCTGAATAAAATATTACTGACTTGCAAGGGCTTTCTACATCTTACAGGGCTTTAAATAAGATTAGGGAGGAAGGAGAGGAGTTGGGTTTTATTATTTCCGTAAAGAAACAAATATATTTATGAAAATTGATGTCCTGTGGCTATCAATACTTAACTTGAATTAGAAGTGGATTAGAAATACGCTGCAATATTTTAACTTTAAAAATAAAAAAAAAGGAGTAGGAAAGCTATTTACAAAAATAGCTCTCAAGTGAGATAACTGAATATTTAAATAAGGAACAATAAAATGAGCATCACATATAAACATTACAACTGAGATTTCATAGTAATCCATGTTGGCAGTTAATCCATGTTGGCTTTATTTATAAATTGAAACAGTTTTCAATTGCACTCGAAAGAAGCTTGCCAAAACATTTTTCAAAATTTAACTTTCATGATACAATATACTTCCATATTTCTACTTTTGTGGAAATTGAACCATGAAATATTAAAGACTGCACTGAAATACCTGGAATAGTTACACGGTGTCTTATTTGATGCAGGTAAAGTATGACTGGAGGTCACCGTGGCAGAACCAATACGAGATAATGTCCTCCTGGCTACAGAGTGGCTACTCTGGGAAGTATTTGTGTCCTATTGACCAGCTTATGGTCTCTCTTGTATGACCTCTTTTACTCTCCTGTAATACTTGGCTTTTATTTCCTGAGCCTTTATGATTTTTCAGGATGGTCTTATTGTATCTAAGAGTGAGGGGGGCCTCAGCCTTTCTCACTCTCTCTCTCTCTGGTGTACTTTGCAAATAGGCTGAATAGATCATAAAAAAGTTATTGCTTTTGAATGACATTCCTGCTTCACAATATTGCCTTTCCTTTGAACAGAGCAGAACTGTGACAATAGCAGGGGAAAATCAGCTGCCTTTTGTTTAAATAGAGTACAAGCTATCTGACTTGGAGTTGGATCTGTCATTTAACCTTCCTATCCACAGAAGGCAATTTGCTTTTGTACAATTAAGTTTATTTTGCAATACCATAGCTTGAGAGGCTTTTCTGGGCTTTGTTTATCCTGGCTTTAGAGATGCAATCTGTGTTCTGTTTCTGATAAATTTCTCCTTGTGTTCAGTTATGACAGATATTCCTTTGAATTGACTGTATAAAAATACTGTAGCAGCAGAGCAGAGCAAAGATCTAACTCTATTTATGTTTATATTCTACCTTTAAACATGAACAGCTGTGCATGCATTCGTCTGTCTCATGTCTGACTCTGTGCTGCCATCCAGAACCTTTTCCTTTTTAATAAACAAATGTTTTCCTCTTTAATCTGTGTGTGTGTGTGTGTGTTTTATCTCTGTTCCTGAAACAAAACTTTCTTGTCCACATACGTTTTTCAAATCTTATTTGTATAATTCAACAAAGTATGCAACAGGAAGAGTCCAAGCCATAAATGGTAGTAAATGGCTCTCTTGAAAGAGCTGAAAGAAAACAAGCTATTTCTGTGTTGCACATCATTACTGTTTTGTTTGGGTAAGTGAAACCCCTCATTTATGAATACTGAAAGACTTTTTTGAAATTGCTTATTTTACAGTCTGATTTACAGAAGCAAGAAACATTCAAGGAGAGCTCATGAATTTTCTGTATGCAGAAGACTAGCGTGATTCATAGCAGCAGCATATATTTATGCCTTTTTTGCACTTCAGTTGTCTCTGGCAGTCATTCATTGATCGTGATAATGACATTCATGGTCAGTTCATAATTTTCCATGTTCCTCTGGAAGCTGCAATAATTAAAAATGTGATTGCACAGAACACAAATGGAAAATGGTACTTGTAAAATCAGGGAGCAGAAAGTTTAGTGCTTTGTATTTAAAGCATCTTGCCAAAAAGGCTTATTGTAAAAACATTTATTTAACACTTCTGTAAAAACAAACAAACAAACAAACAAACAAAAAAAAAAAAAAAAAACAGCATCCCTGCAAGCATTTGTATTCCTGGAAGCTCTGTAACTCTGACAGGGCTAGGAAGGCAGCCACCAGCAGCCCCTTTCATCAGGATTTACAAGGTATTTAACTAAGAATACTTCTGCCCTTCAATTATTGTTTTCGGTCTTGGGTTTATTACTACTTTTGCCAGAAAAGTAACACTGTCTCCAGTTCTTTAACTAAATTTCTGCTTCTAACTTCTGAGAGAGCAGGAAAACAGAGGAGTAAATTCATAGCTGCTACCTCAAAGGGAAACCACACAACCTGTGTGCTGACATAAAAGCAGGACCAGAAAGTGCACGGTAAATAATGACAGTATTTTGCTTCTAGATGCTTCTCTTCCATGCCAGGATTAGAGATCTATTGCTGCTTTTTCTTTTGTGATTGGGTGTATTTTTAGTATCATGCTGCCAAATATTTACTCAGAGGAATTATTTTCAGACAGATCTATGGAGAATGCAGTTAGGCAGGCATAAAAAAGGGAGATAATCTTTGGGCTGGAATTGCACTTCTTGCAATGTGTTGGCCTGACCAGCTGTCGACAGCATTGCTTCATATGAAATTCAATGTTCAGAATATTTTCCAAGCAGCAAAGGAAGTGAACTGTGGAGTGCTGTTTCCAGCAGTAACTTATACCCTGTTTAAGCAAAAGGAGAGGGAGGGCTTTAATATGGAAACATGCTCCTGACTACCTGAAAAGCTTACCTAGCCGATAAGCAAACAAACCTCTCACCATTGTTATCAGTGTTGTGTTGTTACTGCAATGTTAAATTATATATAAGCTGTAAGAATCATAAAATGTTAATTAAAAAATTGCATCTACAGGCAATTCTGTGCTGTGCAGTGGCTTTTTCTCTGTGTTCTGTTCTGTGTATCAAAACGTTATTTCATACCTTTTGGATGAGCTTGACTTTTCTAACCAAAAAAGTCTTGGTCTGAAGAAATCAGTTCTTAAAAAAATTTTCTTTCTGCTTTACTCACTGAAAAAAAGTAAGGTGTTGTATCTTACTAGTATTTCTCTAG